TTGCGTCAGTGCATAGATGGAGCTTCGAACCGCTGCACAGATAAATCGCGGAATTGTCCTTTAAAGAAAAAACTATTGATGTCAGCTGCACTGCAATAAGCAGAATTAAATGATGGGTTGTTTGCGAGTGCTTCTCTTGATAGGAAAGGGGATTCCTGGATATGGAAAAAGTTTGCATGCTCTTCTGTTTGTGGAGCTTACTTTCATTATTGTTTGCCGTCTGTTTGCATTTGATCACTTTTCCCTAAATCCCAGACATGGTTTATTTCCATCTACGTTTTACGCTCTGGGTCGAGTGTTAGGAAGCATACGCGGACATATCAGGTGGTCGGAGAAGTGGGGTTGGCTTTGAGGGGGTTCCACTAAATAGGGTCAAGATTACAAAGCACTTACTGTACTATATAGGAGTTTGCTTCTTTCTTGTTTTTTTTGTTTTTTTTATATGAAGGAGCATCTCCTCATTTGAAGCTCTTGAAGTTGAGTAAAAACCGCACAGCTGTGTATCCCCCCTTTCCCTCCATATCCAGTCCTCCTACATCTTGTCCTGTCACATTCTTTTGCAGTTTTTATGCTGTCTTTGTTTATCTGTTGACAAGTCTGATCTCTCTTCTCATTTTTCCGCTTGTTCTCCTTCCTCTACCCATTTTTTTTTTTTTTTTTTAGACCCATCAATGATATGGTCATCAAGAAGCTATTTTTTTTTTTTTTTTTTTTTAAAGAGAAACGTTTTGGGGATAAAGAGGCTCGTGCCTTTGTAAAGACAGAATAATAAAGTTTGTACTTTGTTTTGTAAACACTTGGCTTTCTGTGTGTCTTTTCTGTTTCTCTGGTAACAGTTATTCTAACACAAATAGTGACATAACCAGCTGAATTTGATTCATTTCCAGTTCTGTTTGGCTGTTACTCAAGCAGTCGAGTTGATGCACAAGTGTCTGTTCCTGATTGGTGGATGGGCTGTTCAAGCCTCCCTCCCTCCCCTGTTCAGTTGCTCATGGCTAAATTAAGACTGACCACCTTCTCTGTAACAGTTAAAATTTACACCAGGGACGGTAGACTGCATCTCCCGTTGTCATCCTGTCTCTTGCCTCTTGTTCACACGCTCGCACATCTTGTAGAGATACTGCTGGTTTTGGTGTCTGGGGTCAGCTGTTCGTGTCATATCAGGATGTTCTCAGTCATTTAGTTAATAACCAAAATCAGGAACGTCTACAACAACAAAAGTTGAATGTGGTATTTACTTCAAATGTCATTGACACTTTGAGAGGATGGGTACACCCTAGATCAGGGGTGTCAAACATAAGGCCTGGGGGCCAGAATCAGTCCGGCAAAGTCTCCAATTCAGCCCCACCTGCTGTGGAAAATGTGACAGGCATAAATTTTGCTGTTTTCTGTGGTCCCCTGCTCACCCACTGAGCCTAACTGACACCCATATGAAGAAACAGAAGACTTGGATTAGGTGACTCTTTCTCACTTATTGTTTAGATATGAAAGTTGCTGTATAATTTCTCATATTATAAAGTCTGTAAATGTCCTCATACTCTCCTCCTGTGCAGGTCACCAGCTAGACTTCCTCAGACTCCTCTGCTGGCATCATCATCCTCCCAGATTGCTTTGACAAGCTGGTTTTGGCCAAGCCAAAAGTAAAACAGGAGGAAGAGGAGGGTTTCCAGCACGAACTTGTGCAGGGATGCCCTCCGAGAGAGAGGCAAGAGTTGACAGAGGACATTTACCGGCAAACACTAGACCTCCACCCATCACTCGAATCAACACCACCATGGACCAGGTGCTGTGTGCCTCACAATCTGTGGATGATGTGACGTTGTTCTCCCTGGGAATCAGGGCTCCTATTTTCTGGACCCCAGCTTTTCCCACCAGCCTCCTTTAATCACCAAAAAGTCCAAAGGGAGAAGCTTTATAAATGAGCTTAGGTTATAAATGCTTTGGTGTGAGAAATTAGTGCAATCTGTTACCAAGCAAATACAGCGTCAGTATCTGCGATACTAAGTACCGGTACTTTTCACTAATACAGACACTTTATGTAAGGGAGAGCGACGTGCTCAATCTGCATACTTGTTAATCACGACTAAAGATGCAATTTTTATGATTGTGAATTAGTTAACACAACAAAACACACCTTCCACAGTTTTTCTAATGGAGTATAAAACTGAAAATTAAACCTGCTTAAGGGCTGAAAATGTTCTGAAAAACCAGCACACATGTATCATGGTGTTATAAAGCTCTCTGGATATTTTAGGGGGTTACGGGGTCATACTGATTTCTTGCATACTGTTATTTCAGACATCGAGATGTGGAATGTGCACAAAACTGTCCAAACAGATCACCTTTCAGATGCAGGCAGGGTTTTCTTTACTGCTTTTCAGGTGACACCTGCACGGCAGTTCGAGGGTTTTAGAGACAAGTTGTGTTTTTTGTGGTTTTAGAGCAGTTAGAATGGAAAACATCCGCGCCACCTATCATCATCTTTGCCAACCTGCATTTCTACTCATTCTGATTTAACTGTCAACTGCAAGCTAGAAAATGTCATCAAACTGTTACTTAAATGACTTATTTAGGGTGAGAAGAAATAAAAGCATAAGGAATGAATAAAGGAGGAGTCGAGAGCATGGGTAGAGGAGGGAGAGGTAAAAATTAAAGAGTTGGACAAAAGATGAAGGAGGAGAAGGCTACACTTGTCCAAGCTTAACTTCTTTTAGGAAAAACTTGAAACGCGCTTTTTCTCTTCAGAGTTCCTGCAGAATTAAGGTTTTTCATCTCAGTGATCATATCTGAATTCTGATCAAGTATCTTACACCGTCTTCTACTGCTCTTCATATTTCTCTTTCTGTAATTTCTTTGTCTTCATTCACGTTTTTGTTCATTTCTTCTTCCATGTCTTTTGGTTTCCATCTGTCGTTGCTTCTCCTCCTCCGTTTCAGTGTTTTCTCTTCTGTACTCTGTTTTATACTCCTTGCAATTGCACATTTTTGCTCACCATTTCGTGGATACTACACTACATCACTTTGCATATTTTCTCCTAGTTTTACTTCTTTTCCTCAATTTCAATATTTCAAAATATAAAATACTTGCAGTGCCCCATATTTTGTCTCAAAGTCTTGGAGAATATGCTGCAACCCTAAAGTCAAAGTCCTGTGCTATTGCTTGTGTGCATAGTGGTTTGAAATTTTTTCAGCCTTTCGCTTGCAAAGCAATCAGGAAAACAAAACAAGAGCACATGCAGTAGTTTTACTCACAAGCCCTTGAGTAGCCAGTGGCAAAGCTGGACAATGTGCTAGTGATAGAAACAATGAAGGAGTGCTGCAGCAGCTGGCAGCAACCAAAAACCCTCTTGAGAGATGTCAAGAGACATCTGCAGACATCTGGGTTCCTCTATGCTCCATCAAAAACTCCAAGGATGGCCCCCTGGTCAATAACTTTAGCCAGCGTACACAAATATCTCTCAGTCCATTCACATTATGAAGCCCGTTAAAAAACACTAGAACCACCAAAGTGGGTCATTTTGGCCCTTTTGCATTTTAAAAATCACATAACTCTGTTAAAATTAAAAAAAATTGTCTTTTCCTAAAAATTGTATCACAGTATTCATCAAATAGTGAATTTTGGGGTGTGTGGGATTGAAAAGCCCATTGTTCATCAGTGCTGTTGGTTTCAGTCATTGTGCAAATGTACTGTTTATAAGTTTGGGGAAACCAGCAGTCAGCTGAGACTGAAGAAGTCACCTGGATGAGTGATGAAATGTTTCTAGATTAACAGAATCAACTTTTTGGGAATCCATAGCCCCCAACCACTCCCCAGCACCAGTGAACTATCTGAGGATTAATGCTGTTTTCCGCTCTAAAATGAACACGCTGTAATGTTTGGACATGCTTCCCGCGTCATTTGGAAAAGGCATGCTTGGGTAGGAAACTTCTGCCATATTTGGGGATTAATTTACAGTGGAGATGTTGATTCCTGAGGAATTGTGAGATTATGTTCGCCACACTACATCTGCCTGAGTGTGATAAAGCAGTAATCCGCCCAGCCTTTAGCTGTGCCAGGGATTCAAGTCTGACTCAGGGGTCCTCATGCTTCCGACATCCCCTCTCTGCAGCTCTCTCATCCCCTCACACTCTCTTTTGGTGATTACTTTAACCAATACGGCAGCCAAGTAAGTCTTCCTTACCAGAGTAAGAGTCTGACAGTTCCCTTCAATGCTTCAGTGCAGCACATTTAAGCCTACTAAATGTAGAAATTCATGGAGATGGGTTAGTAAAGCTGTTACAGTCATTATTTTCTTTTGTTTCAAATTTGATAATGCTTTAGTTAAATAAGAGGAAGACAGTCTCTTTAGACACAGCTGTACTATTCATTCAAATTGCAGCAAATACTCCAGCTCTTGGCTGACACAGCTTTGTTATTTGGTTTAGACAAGCAAACTGCAGTTCCTTAATTAGTGAACTTCCTGGGAGAGGTGCTAGTCTTGTAATTATGGTGTTTTGGTCGGATCATAGCAGAGCAGCACCTATATTTTTCCCTGTTTGCAGCTTTTGTGCTGAGCAATGCTAACTAACTAACAGATAAGAGATTCCTGTTGCTCTATTAATCAAGTACTCACCAAGAAAAGGAATGCATAGGTCCCAGTTTGAGCTACTGTACTTCAATGCATTTGGCATTTATCCACTATGAGAATAATTAAAAAAAGAAGAATTGTATTACTTAATATCTGTGAAAATCTTATTCACATAAAAAATGTGGCTATTTCAAGTCTCTGGCATTAATTATGTGATATATATTGTTAGTGAGGAGTTGAGTGAATTTGCTATGGAGGATAGAGCCAACTCTTGTGCACTTATGACGAGGCCTGAGCTGCAGCCTCCCGCTAAAAAAAAGAAGAAAGAGTCAGCTGCTTGCACATGTAGAGTCCCTGTGGCACGATAGACTCCTGTAACACCTCGAGCACACACAGATCTCAGCCCCTCCACCAGCTGGCCATCTCTGTATCCCACCTCTTCTCTCTCTCTGTGCACTTTAACCTTCCTGCCTTGGTATATATAGTCTGTGTGACTATCAGAGTTCTCCTGGCAGCCATCATGAAGGGTGCAGTCTCGATCTGTTTCCTCTCTCTGCTGCTTTTGCAGGCCACAGCAGGTAAGATTCAGAAGCAATTTGGTAAAACTTGCTGTTTTAGGTGAGCTGGTGCACTGTGGGCGTGAGAAATGTTTGTGTACAAGTACTGCTGATGATTGAAATGGTGATGTGGCATAAGTTTAGAAGCAGGGTTAATGAATGGTTAATAAATAGCACCATATTTGACTGCTTTGTCAGCTTGATACTTCAATGGTTCCTCAAAGATTCAGAGGATGGCCAGAAATGGCCTGTCATATTATTGAAAACAGGCTATCCTGTAGGTTTTTGTGTCTATTGTAGGGTCAGTTTGGCCACAAATGGCACTGGCTTTTAGAGGCAGAGTACAGCACCACCCAAGGATAAGGATAGACAGACAGAAATGTTACCCCAGCCTTTCTTTACCACCAGGCTAAGCTATTTAAATCTGTCCCAGTTTATAGTTAAAAAGCTGGCACGTGTTACAGAGTTGTGGATTTACCTGTCTCTTTCTAATGCTCTTCATTATTAAATCAAATGTTTCATGGCATACTGGAACAGCTGTCACTTTTCATGTATGAACAAATCGCGTTTGGGCGAGTTTCTGAAGTTCGGGATTATTCAAAGCCGTTCGGCCTCCACTGTGGACTGACAGCATGTCAGCTGTCCTAATGCACGGCACCAGCTGATGGAAAGTCTTAGTCTAACCAAGGAGACGGGAACGGCCACGTGGGAGCCTGAATGGACGCTGAGCTTTTTCTGCACGCGCTAATTCGGTCTGTTTGCTTCATTCTTCGGTTTCACCTGCTACAGTCTGAAGGATGACAACCATAACACCAAAACAACATACATCCTAACTATATCAAAGGGCACCCATGGAGCTGAATGTCACAGCGAGCTGATCACCCATAACTGCGCCCAGATTACCCATTCTAAAAATGCGGACTGGTCTCTGGGGCTGGACTAGCGCGGGTATTGTTACCCTTGTCTGTCACCCCTGTCCGTCCTTGGGGTGGCGTTCAGCTCCACAGCCGGGACCCAGGCCTCCATATTCCAAGCTGCTGTCAGGTGTCTAAGATTGGATGGGCTCCTGAAACCCAACCCCAAATCCCCCCCCCTCCCTACAGCTCCTCCCTCCCTCCCTCCTCTAGACCCTCTACCCTCCCCATCCCTCCTGAATCGTCACCCCTCCCAGTTCCATGCTTCCCTTTAGACACACTGCACAGCTGCTGCACTGTCACAATCACAATTTATTCCCAGCAGTTGGCCTTTTAGGGACATGCATTCTCCAGGCTGGAGGGGCCGGGCCGTGGCTTGCAGCTCAAGCTTTCAAAGAGCCCTTTTTTGCAGGCTCGTGCAGATGTCTTACGGTGGCCCCCTGTCTGTGAATATATTCCACAGGCATACTGTGTATTGATTTTTGCTGCAGAGCTAAAAAGGACTTTATGTTGAAATACCCCCAGGGTATGGCAACACTGAGTCATGAACTCTTTTTGTCTCGGTGTGTAATTATGGTGTTTTTGTTTGGTTCAGTCAACTCTCAGGAATTCCACTGAACTCTACAGGATGGACACGAAGGTGTAACAGCCCTCGAAAGCAATGTGGTGTTAATATGCTATCATTTTATCACAGGCTGCCTAGCATACAGATTTATTAATCCACCAGAAAATCTTATATCCTAAAAAAATACACCTGAAGGCTGCATCAGGGCTGACATATTAACACAGAAACTGATCATGTCAAATCTTATGGAAAAAGCCTAAAGCGGCTGATTGCATGGCCAGCATTGATCGCCTTAGCTGATTGATTGGAGTATCCACATTTTGATATAAAGCAAGAACACCAAATGATGCAAGTCATCTTTTAAGCTTAGATATCACTCGGCTGATGTGCAGCAATGTGAACATCTTATAAACCAACAGTAATTTTTTTTCTCACCTGACATTAACATGCAGTCATTAAAAAGCTAAAACTTTTCACGAGCTATGTTTTTGGCGGCGTAAACAAGCTGCTGGAAGTTGCAGGTTTCTTATGTGGATGTGACACTGCTCAGTGTTGGCATGTACTGAGAAACATAGGCTCTGTAGGCAGAGAATGTTTTGTGTGAATGGCTATGATTGACCAATCAAGGACTACAATTGTGTTTGTTACATTATAGCAAACTTTTGGGTAAACTGTGAAGAGGCTTAAAATTTCACTTTACTATCTAAAGTACCTTGAGATTGGTAAAATTGTAGTGAATTAAAACCGTCGCTGGTGCAAATGTAGAAAGATTACTTGTCTAACAGGCAGCGCTCAGAACTTGAGAGTCAGCAAAAAGGACAAAAGTGCTATGTGTAGAATACTTCTGCCCACATTAAATAAGCACTAACAGTTCTTCAGCCGTTTTGGTCCTTCAGACTATTTCTTCACACTGCTGTGTTTATAGTTGGTGGCAATACTATCCATCCTCACTCAGTAAAAATATCTTTGGCCTCCTCACTTTGCAGAGGGGAGACACTGAAAGTTAAAGGAGCACGGTCTCCATGTGATTCTCCTCTAATGGCACGCAGGACATCCCTAGGCTGGACGTAGTGCAAGGGACACGCCAGTCATACTCGGTGACTTTATTACACACGCTTCCTTAAGACGAGCCGCGCAGCCCCAAGGGCACCTGACGTCCTTTCCTGGCTCTAAAACAGGCGAGCAGGGACTGAGGCATCAGATCAACACTTCAGCGTAAAGCGCCTTTGCCCTCGAACCTTTCTTTGAGCCTGTCCCTACCCTTGATGCAACCCCCCCGGTACTGTTTGGTGGCTTGTTCATTATTGTATGACATAGTAAAACTAATGAAAAAAAAAAGAAAAGCAATAACAGTGATAATTGCTAAGTGATAAACACTCAGTTCCATTACTTGTTATATTTTCAGAAATTTAATTAGCACATACAAGCAAAGCCACGCATTTGTAGCACATTTAAATTTACATGCATCATGCTTTTCACTTGGCTAGCCTGTGTACTACACAGTCAGTTTGTAGGGTGAGGATATCTCTAAAGTCTCCAAACTGACTAACAGTCAAAACCTTAAAATAGGCAGCAGTCATTTTGCCACCCCTCCTCTGTCCATCTTCTGACCCATTGTAGGGCTATTTTTGACTGTGTGGGAGTACGAGCTGCAAGCAGTGCCACCTGTTGCCATCTGTGGTATCTTCTCACCACACCCTGCACAGCTCTGCTCTCGCACCTCTGACCCTCACAGAAGGAGGAAACCGGCATCCTTATAGGCTGGCAGCAGGCTTATTTTCACATTCATCTGCTTTGGTTTAAGTATGTTTCCTGCCTTTCTGAAATGGGCACTAGTGAGAAAGTAGTTTTGCTTACCGTAATTGCATTCATGAATTTTAAATGAGAGCGGAGGCACTTTACAAGCCATTGGTCATGTAAACATTTTTTCTTTCTCTTTAAATTTGACTCGAATCATTGCTTCTCGGTGGATCTTTCTGGTGGAAACCTTCTGCCTTCAGATTAGGGCTGCTTGTGCAGGATAAATCCTTTAACTGGGGTTTCCAGGGCTGCTACCCTCATCATGTTCACTTTAATTCAATTTACTTCGACTGTGCTGTAAGCATAATATGATCCCGGGGGTTCCACAGTTATACAGATGGTCATTATATACAGGCACATATCAGCACGCACACATTCTCAACAAAGTGATTCTTTGCCCTCAATAAACATGAAGCTATAATTTTGAGTGAAATACGGACTGATGTATTAAAGGTTTATTCAGATAATCAGTCATGAAGGAAAATATGCTTGGTATACATTGAAAGCATAGCAGTTACATTTTATCTGTTCAGATTCCATTAAATTGAATATTTTACACTGTACTTATGGAAGAAAATTACATGGAACATTTACATGTAATCAAATTACTTAAAATCAGCATTTTGGGCATAAATATTTATTGAGTGTTTGGAAAAGACCACAACATATATCAGGATAATCAGAGCATAGATTAAAGATGGATTAAATTTATCTTCTTTAGTCAAAAGAAATTAACCTTGTGGGTTAATGTAATTAAATAGGAAAGCGAAGCATATTTCAGGGTGGTTTCCAATGGCTGGTAGGTCATAAGAGATCTGCCTATAATTGCCGCAGTGGACGGCTTAGATGTTCAGCGGGATGTACCGACGCCACCAGAATGTTTCTCCAAATTGTGGTGCGGTTGTGTGGCAACGAGCTCAGCGAGGACAGGGTTCAGCTCCCCTGCCACCTTCAGGGTTAATTTTGAGCACTGATGCAAGGCCCACTGTCCACGGGCAACATTACCTCTCTGATCTTTGCGGAGCTCTGTCCTAATTAGGGATCGACTGGATTGGAAGGTGTTAACAAGTTCACAGCCGCTAAGGCCCTCTTGAGGAGCTAGCGTTAAAAGACGTGACTCTTCTGAGTGATGAGTCAAGTTACAGAGGCTTTAGCAATCCCTGTAGTACTGCAGTGATGGCGTGTGGAAGAGATGGGATCTGGTCATCGACAGCCACTTTAGTCCTCAAGTGGAATCACCCTCTCTGCCCTCTGGTGGGTTTCATCAGAGGGCACATCCCCTCTATTTTGCAATATGATCACATTCTATTCAAAACTTGTAACCTGCTCAGATAACCGGAGCAATGTGGCTCAGATTCAAATGCAACCAAGCGGTCATGGATCACAAACAGATGACATCACTTAGTGGTGTTTCTAAAGGTCACATGAACAAAAGCAGCTTTGCGCAGGCTGTAGTTGTTGTCAGAGCTAAATCCAATTTATTATAAAGTCGCTGTGGAAAAAAAGTTGCAGAAGGTTTGATGTAATTTGTCTTTAACATGTTTAACATGTGTTCGAATAAACACTTCTTCCCTAAATGCTTGCATTTTTCCAAACTGCCAAACCCAATGAAACAGTGCTCCTTTCGCCTCTATGTGTTTAGTGCATATGTGCACTATATATTATTAAACTTGGCAGAATCAAAAATGAAGAAGTGTATTATATACATGCAAAACACAGTGGTTACGCCGAGCAAAATTTTCTTTACTTTCCTGAAATGCAAATAAATAAAATAACCAAACTAAACTAAGATAAAAGTAATGAGCATATAAAAGTAAATAAAATAAAACAGTACTCTCTGTACAAAAGGGTAGAGTGTTGACACAACATAGGAAGTCACATGAGTTCACATTACTGCATCTCTGCTTTCATTGTGTTAATCCACTAGAATAAAGACAGGGCACACTTGCCATTAGGAGTTCACACGCAAGAAATGAATGTAATTTTTTATTGTATGGGCTGATTAAGGAAGGCTTTCTGCCTGATACTATGTAGCCACATACAATATATGGGTTTGCAGTGTTGCTCGTACTCTCCTTTTATTCTGGCTACTAACCTTTTGGTTTCTCTTGTTCTTGCGTCGTGCCGGCAGAAACATTACACAGGCTTATTTTTAGCAGGTTGACTCGGTGAGAATCAGCACTGTGTCACTGCCTCCACGCAGCAAAGGAGAAACCTTTCGGGTTTCAGTTAAAGCTCCAGAGATTTGTAATTTCGGGGGTCTTTTGTGGTCGTTTATTGTTTTTGTATGTGCACATACTGAAATGCTCCAATTGGATTTCTGTGATCAGAAAATGCGGGCTGCATTTTTCATGAATGAGAACATTTATATTGAACTCAGTTCATTTCAGTGAAAGAGTCGATTTACAAGCCCCGAGGCTCATAAATATAAACATAAGTTTGCTTGAGGCTTGTAAACAAACAGGCCTTCGGATGATTTTACTTGTCATTTGATGCAGCGTTGGATTCATCCAAAGCGACGTGCCATTCTGACGCTTGGCCAGAAACACTAGAAGTCATTCACCACATGGCCGGTGGCTTTACTCGAGGCTGTGGCGCAGGATGCTGCAGCAGCACTGCCCTCTGAGGGGGTGATGTTTATCAGATGTTTAAAAGAACATCTGTGACTTTGCTCTGCAGTTTTGGTTTTGACATTTTAAAAAGGAGGCATTTTTAAATATTATTTCTGAAAGAAAGCTTTCTGTTTGAGAGAAAATTGCTGATGAATATGGTCTATGGTGACACCAGAGAGTTGGAGGAACTATAGTTGAGTTTTTCAAAGAATATTTAAGTCACCTTCTGATTTTTACTCACTCCACCCACAACTTACAGCCAATCAACTTTCTCAAAAAGTGTGTCAGTATCTGTGAGAAACGCCACTTATTTCACAATAACAGACGGACTGAGAGGATCTTACATTATTCAACACTGTACATGAAATGATGTGTCTGCAGTTCTAGTCTGAAAGTTTTTTTACCTTCCCATTTGAGCACCTCTGCTCTACCCCCAGTCACTTTTTCAGGAGCATTACATAAATGCCAGGATACGATTATTTCTTCACAGACACCAGCTGAGATCAGAGGGTTGTGCCGCCAGCGACTGAACCAACTTTTCATTCTTTTTCTGATCCTCTGTGCAAGTGGTGTTAGTTTTATATAACTGCAATAAAATTGTGTATTTTTACTGAGAAAGTCAGGTAAAGTGCAGGCGATTATATGAGCTTATATTCATTTTTCTCTGTGCTGCTTAAAACATTTTGAACTTATCAGCGCCAGTAAACTGAATTTGCTGGCAGAAGGTATGCATGTAATTGGTTTAAGAACAAGATCAATATTCTGTGCTTTCCACAGTCTTATTTACAACTAAATGACTGCAGTTAATAATTCAACAGGTGCTCCTATATCAGAGTCAATCTTCCACACTCTTAAATACCTTTAAAATTCTTTAACAGTTCTGTTAAGGGGGTGTCTGGTAGCTTGGATGCTCAGACCCATAAGCTCCCAGGGCATGGAAGTGTGAACCAGGAAGACTTCCCAATTGCTGCTATATATATCTTGTGGCAGGTTGGCGTGTGGGAGGCGTTGTGGAAGGGGTCTGTACTGAGGCCTGGGCACACAAGGACAGGCCTCACAGCCTGATGAGCCTGTGATTGGTGGATAAATATAGATGAGAAAAGACAGAGGATTGCACACCATTGTCTCATGTATATTATTGTTGGGAACACTCAGTCCGGCTTTGAGTTCTCCTCCTCGTCTGTTACGAAACCGGGGAAGTCCCTCTCTCTGTCAGTCTGCCTTATCTTTGCTGTTGTTATATAGCCCGCGCTGATGCCAAACACATGTCTTTGTTTATTTTCAGCATTTGCTTTCTAAATTAAGACCTGATTGTACTAAGAGCTGTGATCTAAGTAATCTGACATGTTCAAAAGTGGACATGACTGGTGAGCAAATATTTTCTCTTGGTCATTCTTTCTCTCTTATACACACGCTCATACACGGACATGAAACAAGCTTATAGCTCAGTTAAAATGTGTATATTGACATGCAGGACCTACACCTGAATGTAAATGCTAACTTAGCAACTATATTCCATTTAAAGGGGGGTTGGTTAGAATGTCAATACCTTAGATGGGCTACTATTTAGTTCACTTAACCAACAGTTGGTGTGTCAGTTGAGAGCTTCTGCTACATCAAAAAAATATTTGCCCTCAATGAATAGTCATGCAAAAAAATGTAATCTAAAAAGGGAATATTTAGATACTAATAACTACAAATCGAAAGTGTTTAGTTGGTGGATTGTGCGGGGGGAGTTTAGGTGCTTTAATTTCCTAACTTGACTTGTTAAAATCTGAAAATACAGCAAAAATCATTGAATAGCTGATTTTTTTTTTTCTTCCATATAATGCCTTTATACAAGGCTCACATTAAAACATCTCTTCTCCCCTTTGGTTTTCTTTCTCTCCCTCTCTTTCTTTCATTCTTTCTCCCTGTCCTATCCCGCAGTCATGTCTGTCCCGTTTGTAGCAACTGAAAATAAAATAAATTCATAATTATAATAAAGGTCAATCAAATGGACCAATATGGCAAGGCCATGATGATCCACTTGGTAAAATAAATCCGCTTGGCATCTTTCTTGGCCTTGAGACAACAATTCTGATGGCTAAAGATCCAAACGGGACACAAAAAAAAACAAAAAAAACCCCATTTTATTTATTTGCATCCACTACAAAATCAGTCAAGTCTTTGTTTTCACTGATCTTTGGCCAGACAGACCGTCATGTAATAGCAAAGCTTTAGTAAACATGGCATGGCACCTGTCAACAAACCCAGTGTCTGCTTCTTTATTAAACTGCCGTTGAACAAATCAGACCTCCCATGTTTATTTTCTTAAAATATCAAGCTGGCCATTTAAGGCATACGCTGAGGTCTTGAAACAAACTGAATTTGCTGTTGATGTTTGTGATGTTTCTGCAGAAGAAGAAGAAGATGTTACCTCCGTCCTTAGAGACAGATCTCACATCGATGAGACGCTGCGGCTTGCAATGGAGGAAAAAGCAGGAGACTATGCAGGTGAGGATTGAAGGTGAAAGAGGCATGTTACAAATCTGACTGCTTTAATTTTCTTAATTTTTTCCCACCTGATTTCCCTTTAACACTTTTGGGGGAGCAAACTAAATATGACAAGTCAATAGGATTTTTATGCTATTTAAAACAAACAGTGTATCCAAAGAAAACACTGTTTACCTTATTTACCTTACTAACATCCTTTTGATCATCTCTGGTCTCCTTTTTCTTCAGCGGCTCTGGAGAGGTTGCGGAAGATCTACCATACGTCCATCAAGCCGATGGAGCAGGCCTACAAGTACAATGAACTGAGGCAGCACGAGATCTCAGGTATCACCGAGCTCACCGGCTGCAGCTTCACTTTGCTTCACTTTCTCCTGTTGGTGTGGAGTTTTCTGTTTGAGTTGCTTTAGTAACTGATTTGTTGACTTGTTTGCAAAAACACAGCATCTTTACACCTCCAACTGATGCATTAACAGCAATATGTTCTCCTTTGGAAATTACCTGTAGCCTCTCTTTATATCAGGTTTAAGGGTGGGATTATAAAAGTAAGAAGGGTAGTGTCTTTTTTTACCCCTTCTGTTAAACATTGCACTGTGCCCTGTTTCTTTACAGTGGACTCAACACTCCAAGCTGTACACTGAACTGCCCAGAAAACCCCACTTTCCTACAATGAAATAAAGTTATCGCCCTCTTGTGGCTTTTCAGGCCTGCATGCAAAAAAAAAAAAATCAACTTCTATTTTCAATGCATATGTGCGTTTTAAAGATGGGAGTAAATCCCCCCCACCCCCAATCACCTGACTACACGGGCATGTCCTCCATCTGTTTACAGACATGTTTGACACTTCGCAGGTCAAATATGGGATTAGACTCCAGCCTGGATCTCCCACCTGTTTATGTACATTTTTACTTTATCCCTCCATGTTGCTTGTAGAAACATCACTCCCTCACTGAGCTTTCCTCCACCTCCTGTTTCCCTTCACTTCTCTATACTCCACCCTCTCCTGTCTTCCACTCATCCCCATCCCCTCCACTCCCTCTTCCACCCCTCATCTAACAGCCTACCCGGGAAGAACCCTGGGGGACTCAGCCACAGGTGGGTGTGGCCAGAGCTTACCTGTGCATGGCAGTGCCTGCAGTGCTCGGCCCTTTCCTTTCAACCCCTTATTTGTCTTCATACATTTGCCCTGAGTGGGTTGCAAAATTTCAAGCACGTTTCACTTTGGACGACACTCAATATGACTGAGTCAAAAGTGATCCATGGGTGAAAGCTTCATTTTACGGAGAGTGAATAAAAAGAGAAGTTAAAAACGCTCTTAACATACTTTAAGTGTGATAATGTTTAAATTGCACATTATTTAAACTTTTTAAAAAATGACTTACCATTACTTTGTATAAACAAAATATATATATTTATATAAATGGGGTTGCATGTGCAGCTTTGGTTTTAACAAAGGATACAGAGGTTTGAGGAGGGGACACTGGTGGGAGAGGGTGGTCAGTGTTCAGCTAGGAGTGAACTGGTTTACTTTTTCACTTTATTTTTTAATATTATTATTTTTTATCATTTTAAATTCCAGTAGCACCAGGAGTGATGCTTAATGTCTGCTTTTTTGTTTATTCTTTCTCCTTTCCCTTTTTTAATGCTATTTTTCCATCAGTCAGTTGCATTGTAGTACATTGCACCCAGCCACCCAAACACCATGTCCACTCACAACAGCTACGAGACACACAGCTTGTGCTAGACCCGTCGAGTCTCTTTGTCAGAGTATAAAACTTTATCGTGTGTCATGAGATTATGGCTGCTGCATTTTAATGAATTTCCTTTATGCTATTAAACACCCTAACAGCTTTACAACATGTTTCTGTCCTTCCTTCTTAAGTCTTGTAAAATGTGCCCTGTGCTCTGGATTGGCAGTGCTGTTCAGATGTGCTCTTCAGTGAAAAAAATAAATAAACAGATATGCAGGGAGACCTTTCGGATAGATTGTTGATTAGATGACTGGCTAGATGATGATTTCACCACACTGCTGATAATTTAATCAGTGTTGTTTCTTCTTGCCCTAAACAGATGGAGAGATTACCTCCAAGCCCATGGTGCTATTCCTGGGACCGTGGAGTGTAGGAAAGTCCTCCATGATCAATTACCTCCTGGGCTTGCATGACCACCCCTATCAGCTCTACACAGGTACCATAAAGATGTTATTTTTTATTTTGTAAATTAGCAGTAAATAACGTTAAGTTCTGAAATCCAGCGCTGATGGGGAAAAAAAGGCAAGGTGAAAAGTGCAGTTGTTGCTAAATCTACATCAGATGGGGAGTTGACTGGAGAACTGGGTGCTTTACATCTTACTGAGGTTCAGTGTGTTTTCCCATCTGCTTCTCCTCCACAATGCTAATCTCTTCCTCTCTTCCTCTGTGATGTCCTTCTGCAGGAGCTGAGCCTACTACCTCTGAATTTACAGTTATTATGCACGGGGAAAAGATCCGCTCTGTTGAGGGTATCGTTATGGCGGCTGACAGCTCGCGCTCCTTCTCTCCCCTGGAGAAGTTTGGTCAAAACTTTCTTGAAAAGCTGATTGGTATTGAGATGCCCCACAAGCTTTTGGAGCGTGTGACGTTCGTAGATACACCGGGAATTATTGAGAACCGGAAACAGCAGGAAAGAGGTAAACTCAAGAAGCTTGCTCTCAGGTTTTGATTTTCAGATACCACAAAATCAACTGCGTATAGCTCTTTATGACCTGTGCTTTTCTCCCATTTAGGCTATCCTTTCAATGATGTCTGTCAGTGGTTCATTGACCGTGCTGACCTGATCTTTGTCGTGTTTGACCCCACCAAGCTGGATGTTGGTCTGGAGCTAGAGATGCTCTTCAGGCAGTTGAAGGGTCGTGAGTCACAGATTCGCATCATCCTGAACAAGGCTGACAACCTGGCCACCCAGGACTTAATGAGAGTTTACGGAGCGCTCTTCTGGAGCTTAGCTCCCCTCATCAATGTCACTGAGCCTCCCCGTGTCTATGTCAGTTCCTTCTGGCCATATGACTATGCACCTGACACCAGCCGGGAGCTCTTCAAGCGAGAGGAGATCTCTCTTCTGGAGGATCTCAATCAGGTGATCGAAAACCGCATGGAGAATAAGATTGCCTTCATCCGCCAGCACGGTATCCGTGTACGCATCCACGGCTTGCTGGTAGACCGCTACGTCCAGACCTTTAAAGAGAAGATGAGCTTCTTCAGTGATCCCGAGTTAGTCTTCCAGGAAATTGTAGATGACCCAGACAAGTTTTACATTTTCAAATCCATCCTAGCCAAGACCAACGTCAGCAAATTTGACCTGCCCAACCGCGACGCTTACCGTGACTTCTTTGGCATCAACCCTATCACCAACTTCAAGCCTCTGTCAGCTCAGTGCTCCTACATCGGAGGCTGTCTGCTTGATAAGATTGAGAAGGCAATCACCACTGAGTTGCCTGCCCTTCTGAGCAGCATTAACTCTGGCAAGCAGCCTGGCCTGTCCTCCTGCGAGGCCACCGGCTGTGGTGAGAAGCCAAAGAATCGTTACCGAAAGAACTGAGGAACACAAAATACTCTAAAGGTAGAAAGGAGAAGGTGAAGGTGAAGAGAAAGGGTCTGGTCGATGCCAACCCTGCTTTTTGTCAGAACGCTTGTATCACTAATGGAGACAGAGGCGAGAAGATGCTTTTTTCTTTCCTTTTTTTTTTCTCAGGAGTTTAAGGGGAGGTGCATTTAATGTCCGTAGGATTGAAAGAGATAGCGGGAGGGAGGGGTTATCGATAAAGGCAGCTTAAGGATACAAGTGCTGAAGAAATGAGAACATGCCTCTCTCCCTTGCACAACCACTCTGGACTGTCTGGGACTTTGGGATTGGGAAATCAATGATGTGAATAAAAGAGGAAATGGGAAAGATTAAATGAGAAGGAATAAAAAGTTTAAATCCTGAACAAAAAAAAGTCAAATACCAGCTCCCTTGTATGTGAATAAAGGAAAAAAGTGGAAACAGAAATGTGTGTTGGACAACTTGTGAGAATTGCATTGCAGCAGGTTAATTCCACACGCTTCAGGAAGCTGTTTTTGAAGTAGCCCCTTGTGTGGGTGCCACACAGAGCTAGACATCTAAACCTTTGCTTTTGAATTAGATTAACACTGCATGTTCGACATCACAAAAGGTGCATGCATTTTCTCTCTGACACAAGCAATAGTCCCTTGTGTTACTGACACCTGCAACACATGTGGCTGTTTTTTTGTTTTGGTTATTTTTCCTCGTAATTTTGTATGCTCGCCAGTCTTGGTTGTTGACAACCTCTGAGAATAGCAGGGGTCAGGGATCAAAGGTCAGAGTCTTCAGTGCAGAGTGGGTGTTTTCACTCTGCTTGTAACTGTTGTTACTCTTTCTTTGTTTTTTGTTTTTTTTTGTTTGAGTCTATAAATTTGCTTTCAGCAGAATTTAAATGCTGTGTTAGCGTTTATTTTCCCCTCAGTGATAAGCTTCTCAGCCTTTTCTTTTAAGTGATCATAAAAAAAGAACATATGAATGAGGCTTTCAAATGATTTATTCTGCCAATTATTCTGCAGGTTAGAAAGATATTTGTCATTTTTTTCTGCATAAATAGCCAAATGGCCAGTTCAGATATATATATATATCTATATCTATATCTATATCTATCTATATATATATATATATATATATATATATATATATATATATATATATATATATATATATATATATATATATATATATATATATATATAGGGAAGAGAGATATTTACACACGCACACACACATATATATCCTCTGCTGCAAAATTTTGAAAAGTGCTGCCAAAGTGTGGTCGATCTTTGCAGATTTCCCAGCTTGCAAAAAAAAGAAAATAAAAAAATGTGAGATGGAGGTAAAGGAGGACTCATGAGTTGACCCCTGACCTCTATGGAGAGAAGGAAAGCAGAAGGTAGCTTTTACCGCAAGTTCCTGTGTACTGTGCCTCAATAAATGTCCTAAACACACTTGGACAGTCTGGGCATTGAACAATGGATATTTTGCTTGTTGGCTTCAGCTTTGTGGAGTCTCTGCACACCTTAGCATGTTATTTCTTTTTCTTTGGCTTTATAAGTTGTAAAAGACAAAAGATCAAATGTGTTAGGGTTAGCAGCTTCTGACAGAGCCAGGCTCGTTGCTTCCAGTGTGGGTGCTGAGCTGATTCAGTATATTTTTCCAAATTTTTTCCAAGAGTGCTTCATACACAAAGCCCTAAATTGTAAAGAACAGGTAGGTGGTTCTAAGCTAACCCAACAAAAAACTAAAGTTGACTCATGGCCAAGCGCACTTCCTGTTTCCTCCACGTGTCCTGTCTCACTAACACCCCTGCTGCTTTTCCCAACTAAACTCTGAAGCATGATTCAAAAGAATGTAGCAAACATAACCTCCAAATAAGCTTAACTTTGATTAACTTTTCAGTTTGAGTGTAAGTGCTGCACAGGGTGTTTAGTATGTTTACACTGCAGATTCAGAACATGGCCACTAGAGAGAGCTGTGTAAAAAGAGGAAAGAAAATGCAGACCACTGGCAAAAGTTTATAGTGGGATTGATCGCTCAGGCTTCGTAACATTAGGTGCTTGCATTTTTTTTTTTTTTGTGTACTTGAGTGTAATTTATCTTCATTTACCTGTGAATTAGATATTGAATGGATGTGCATCCCATTAAAGTAGTTGTTGATTCACTTTTTTTTCCTTTTTTTAAAAAAAATTTAAGTTAATCTTGGCCTAATTTTTGCAAGCTTGACCATCAAGAATAAAGATTTCTGATGGACCAAGCAGTGAAACTTTGTGGTTATTCAAATAAAATGATCAATCTTTGGACTCAAACAAGAAAATTTTTTGAGATTACATCTTGGACTTGCACATTTCCTGTTTCTCCATCTTGTCTCCATACATTTGTCTGTATAACGTCTCGCTCTGTTCCTTTTGTCTCTCTTACACCAACATCTGAACAGGTCTGATCTCCCACTTTTTGAAAGCATGCTTTTTGTGTTCCACAGCTGCAATGCACCAACAGTTTGTCGTGACTGTGGGAGTGAGGGGGGGAGGGCATGTATGTGAGTGTGTCTGTGGATGTGTGTGTGTGATGTAAATTGCCTCAAGTTTTGACACATGCACCAAAATCCCCCTTTATACAGTCATATGAACCCACGTGAGCTTCTCTGTGAGTGAACTCCAACTCTTCTGCGAGCGTTGAAATATTCTCAGAAGATTAAAACTGATACAGTGGTTTATGAATAAATCAAGAGAATTCCAGCTCACCACTTTAAAATCACAGTAAATGTTCTTATTCTCGCAATTAAAGACAGAGTTTTGTTTGTTCCCATGCACGAAGGTGGAATGCAAGAAGGTAGCGCGGTTCCCTCTGGGGGTGCTTTCAAAATACAGCGAAGCTCCTTGCTGACTACAGAGGCCAGCTGCTTAATATTTCTGTCAGGCTGCTGAATAAATAAATAATAGAACATTAAACCTGCAGGTTCTTCATTCAGTTTGGCTGCACACTCTGTAGCCTTCATTTCTCATAGTCTGCCTTAAATGAAGTATTCAGAATTAGATATCAGTGCTCCTATTCTGCTGTTTATTTGAAGATACTCTGTATATATCCAGGTGTCTTCTAATTAAGACTTCTTCCACTCTCATATTAGACTAAATGTAGTGTCCTTAAATGATAAAGTGTTTATTCTATTCTTTTTAATGGTATAGAGCAGCAGAAAAGAGAGGAGGGTGGGGGGCTTTGTTCACGAACTGAACATGTGGAGTTTCGCTGTGTGCCATTAAAAACATACATCCCCACCCCTTCCCTAAAATGCGTGCTCGCTACATTTCACTCTATTGCTTTTTATCAAGTGCGTACACGTTCCTGCACTGTAGCCCTCCCCTCACTCAACCCCTCTTTTCGTCTACTCTGCTCGCAGCGTCAAGTCGATGGTGACCATCAAAACGGAAGAAGAGAGAGGGATTTTCAAAATAGAAGATCGTTAAAAGTAGATTCTTTTAGCGTGTGTAGAGTGAAGCTCCAAATTGGTTGACAAGAGTCTCTAAGGAAACAGTCTCTTATGTATGGAAGCTCGTTTCCGCCAAAAATAAATAATAAATAAATAAATACTAATAATAGGAACAAGAAGAAGAAATAGATACATTAAAACAAGTTTAACATAAAACATAAATTTGAAAGATGCCACTTATAGGTAGAAATTTGCGTTTTGCAGTATTATCTTAAGTTTTCAACTTACTAGATCAAACTTATGAGAAAATAACTTAAGAATTTGTTTTATAAACTCTAAATTCTACAATAATAACCTGAGATTTTCACTTATGGATAGCATTTTCTTTTCTTTCTTTCTTTCTTTCTTTCTTTCTTTCTTTTTTTTGTTGAAGCTAAAAAAATTTTTTTTAATTTTATTTAAACACACAAAATAAATCAAACAAACAACAACAACAACAACAAAATCCCGAAAGAAAATAAAGGGTCTGAATGATTATGGGTTTACTTAAAAACCACAAATTTGTTTGCTGAAGCTTTCTTTTGTAGTTTCATGCTAACAGAGTATTTTAAGGTGACCCTATAAAAAGGTTGTTGTAGAAAGTATGTGTTATATTGACCATGTAATACATGCTAATACATGGATTATTATGACTCTGTGCCTTTTTTTAAACAACTATAAAAGCCACATTTGGGTTTTTATTTTGAAAGAAAAGAGGGGACGTGATATGGTATTTATTCTGGCGTCACTTTCTTTCTTTCTCCCTCTTACACACACACACACACACACACACACACACTCACATACAAACACACACTTCTCTCGGCTGGACGGCTGGAAGCGCACAGAGACAGAAGATGGTGGCGGCTGCTGCTGCCACCGTGTTGCCCGCTGCGCCTGGATTGCGCGCACAGCGTTTTTGCGCACGTGTAGACGCCGGTGCGGCACACAAATTGTGATCAGATAACCCGGTAATAGGACAATTCTATCTCTCACTGTGGACGGCACAAGGGATGGAAAGGCAGGACGGTGCAGCAGCAGCCCTAATCTAGCCTATCATTTGAATCTTGAATCACCTGGAGGTATGACGATATTCTTTGTATCCTGCCCAATTAATCAAAGTGGCCGTATGAAGGCAGCGCTGTGCTTTAGCCTGTGGGACTGTGCTACTGGGGGGAGTGGGGAGGAGGTGGAGACCTTTTAATTAGCCCTACTTTCTCCGGGGCTTTCGTCGTCTGGCGATTACAGGGGGGACCAAGCTGTCGTGGGCAAACTTTACTTCATATACCAGGAAGGACTGGACTCCACGCTGCCTGCTCCAGGGGTCTGTTTGTCTTCGCAGATTTCCGTCTGAGACACCACACAGCCGGGAATGGTCAGGATATTAAGACAATCTGGATATTTTCCTTCTTGGGGCGCACTGACGATGAATTGGCCACAGTTTGGATGTGAATACCAAAGCAGCGCTAACAAAACACTGATTTAAGACTGGCTGGGCTATAGCCTTGAGAGGCGCGCGAATCTGTGGAGTGGTCATTGCCGTCTGAGCTCTTGCAGTAACGCCGAATAGTTCATTCGCATCGCATCTCGCTCCTGCAGAACTCCGTGCACAAAATATCTGCCGAGTTCGGAGACGCAGTGACTGTGGAGACTCTGGAGTGGAAAGCCAGGCGAGGACGGGGCGCCGTCCATGAGTGTGTTGGCGATTAGGCCCTGCGGCAAGGAGCGTGGGGGTATAAAAATAAAAACTCAAGTGGCATGATCCCTGTATCCGGTGTTAACCTACGCCTTAATTTTAACCGCTGACCTTTTGGATCGACACAGCAAACGACAAAAGCTCGAACCACTGCGTCCGACTGGCCCTGGATGAAGTTTTGCTCAGTCATGTAAACTTCACATGGTTTAGTTCACTTGACATCGACGTGTATGGAAGTAGAAGCGTGGGTAACTGAGTGGATAAGCGGAATTGGACACGCACCAGCAATGAAAGCGGGCTGAGCAAACACACTGAGTACATAACAACTTGACAGAATTGAATCTGGGTTTTTTAGACACATTTTGAGAGCACCTTAAAATAACTTATCCTCTCAGTCCTATTTGTGTGTGTATGTGTGTATTTTTCAGCATTTTCCCGTACTCACAGTATTGTGTAATTCTGTCCGTTTGGCCAAATAGTTTCCAATGAATGAAGCAAAGAGCTGGCTGCCTCGGCAGAGGAGGCACTGGGTGAACCTTGCAGTTTCAAGTGCGTCGAGTCAAAACATCGGGAATGCAGAGGAATGCAGGGATTGACGTCAAGAATGGCAGAAATGAACTACTCAGAAACTTTGGATGGTCTGCTGGTGTTTCTGCAGCCAGAGCACAGAGTGTGATTTTTCTCTCAAACTTTTTCCCCAACCCTTCCTTTTTTTTTTTTTTTTTTTTTAAATTCTAAAGATTGAACAATCATACTGTGTGGCCGCAACTTTTTGCCTTACTTCATTTGTGTTTCCCGAGAAATAACTGTGCCTTCTGCCTAGTTTTGGGGTTTTTGTAATTTTTTTCTTTTCTATAGATTAGAAGAAAACATGGCATCCCCCCAGCATCAGCAACTGTTGCCTCACAACACAGAAGTGAGCTGTGACTCAAGTGGAGATGGAGGCGTCTCGGTGAGAATTGGCAGTAGTGTCAAACACAAGCATGGAGGCGGGCCGCTGGGTTCAATCGGGGGAGGCTTCATTGGCGGAGCCAAGCACTGCAAGTACAGCATTTCCTCTAGCTGTAGCTCTGGGGAGTCCGGATTGAGGAGGCCGGTGGTCAAGAGTTTTCGTTCTCACAAAAAGATGCCACAGCTTTTTGAGAGATCTGCCGGCCATTTCTGGGACCCAAAGTTTGACTCTTCTATCCTGGAGGAGGCCTGTAGAGAACGGTGTTTCCCTCAGACCCAGAGACGCTTCCGTTTTGTGCTTTTTTACCTCCTAGCAGCTGCTTTACTCTGGGGAGTTTACTTTGCTGCCAACCCTTCCCGCTGTGATAGGGTTGCTTTTCTCGTCCCCACTGCTTCCTTCCTCCTTTTCTGCTTCCTCCTCTTCCTCTTAACGTTTACCAAACTGTACTCTCGCTGCTACAACCAAGCATCTCTGCTCCTCATCCTTGTAACCTTCATACTGACCCTGGCCCCCCAGATTCAGACATCTGGCTTCAAGGACCCTGAGTCTCCAGCACCTACACTTGATGTGGAAGAATTCAGTGGAATAGGGCCCACATACAACATGTCATATGAAAAATTTGTGGGAGATAGCAACTGGTGTCCCTGTCTTTCTCCTGTAGGCACCTTCTCCCTTTGCATTGAGGTTCTTCTGTTGCTATATAGCGTCCTCCACGTTCGTCTCTATGCCTCTGTCCTCCTTGGGTTTCTCTACTCCATCTTTTTTGAGAGTTTGGGATGGCTGCAACTGACTCAGGTAGGCGAGAAGTGGAGCTTAGCCGCCCCATCAGATTGGGATACTCTAAGGTGGTTGGGCCCAGCAAAAGCCTTGCTTCATCTCTGCGCTCACGCCATCGGTATGCACCTGTTCATCATGTCTGAGGTGCGGTCGCGGAGCACCTTCCTTAAGGTCGGACAAGCTATCATGCACGGCAAAGACCTGGAAGTGGAGAAAGCCTTGAAGGAACGAATGATCCACTCTGTTATGCCCAGAATCGTGGCTGATGAGCTCATGAAGCAGGGCGATGACGACATAGGTGATCATTCTGTTAAACGGTACTCCACCAGCGGGGCTGCTGCTGCCATCTCCAGCCCTAAAAACAATAAACGCAAGAAAACCTCCATCCCCCGAGGCCAGATCATCTTCAGGCCCTTCAACATGAAACGGATGGAGCCTGTCAGCATCCTTTTTGCAGATATTGTGGGCTTCACCAAAATGTCTGCCAACAAATCTGCTCATGCCCTCGTCGGACTTCTTAATGACTTGTTCGGACGATTTGATAGACTTTGTGAGCTCACTGGCTGTGAAAAGATCAGCACTCTAGGAGACTGTTACTACTGTGTGGCCGGGTGTCCCGAGCCCCGACCAGATCACGCCTATTGCTGTGTGGAGATGGGCCTGGGCATGATTCAGGCTATTGAACAGTTCTGCCAGGAGAAGCGGGAGATGGTGAACATGAGGGTGGGAGTCCACACTGGCACAGTACTGTGCGGCATCCTGGGCATGAAGCGCTTCAAGTTCGACGTTTGGTCAAACGATGTCAACCTGGCCAACCTGATGGAGCAACTAGGCGTTGCTGGGAAGGTGCACCTATCACACGCCACTGCCAAATTCCTGGATGAACGCTACCAGCATGAGGACGGACAGGTCATGGAGAGAATAGGACAGAGTGTGGTGGCTGACCAGCTCAAAGGTAAGTGAGAAGAAATGATAAAGTAGAGTGAAAAACATTTGTTGCTTTTCGATCTGCTTTATTGTAGATTGGCTGTCGGTTCATCGGCATTAAAGTCGATGTGTTCTAATACTTTTACCCTACCCACAGAGGAAATGTGTGCTCACGCCAGCATATTACTATTTCACCCTCCAGGTGAATCAAAGCACTTGTGAGGAAGCATTTGCATTGGTCAAGGTCAGAACGAAGTATAAGCATCATGTATTATACCTGATGGGCTGGCAGGGCTTTGAGTGTGTTATCAGTGCCCTCTGTGGCACTGGTACTATGTGACTCTATCACAGACAGACGCCATCTTCTTTCCCGTCCTTCCCCGCTCTTTGTTCTCTTCTTCAATTACATTGCCTTCCAGACGTCCTCAGTGTGCTGCGTTCCCGTTACCTTGCCCTGAACCTCTGGGATTGCTTTACAACTTAATGCAACTGTCACCTTTTCTAAAAGAGATTTGCCTGCAGCTATATCCTCAGCCCTCTATCTTGTCTTTTATGCTGCTCGACTGGAGGCTTTTTTTATATGATGCATTTATGCAAAACGCCTCAGTGTGACTAAATGTTGGCTTAACTGCTCTTCTCGTCATTTAAGGCTTTCTGATCCATTATCAGCCATTGTAAGTGAAGTGAAAGTGTCTGACTAAGGTATTGCAGATGGTGTTCATCTGCCCTTTTGAATTAGCATTTTGGGTTTATTTTTGCTTCACTGTGCTGCCTTGAAGGCTGCATGTCAGATTTTGTCCAGTGCATTTTAGGCAGGAATTAGTGTGAGCACAAATTAGCAATTCAAATGTAGACATTAATAATTTGGGCGCATAAATTATCAGTGTATTTATATACACATCATTTCCCCCCAGAGATCAGTGCTGGGATCAGTCAAGGAAAAGGAGCGACTGAAAGTGCCCTTTGTTTACCAGGCGGCAGGGCCGATTTATAGGCCTGCATTTTCCTCTCATCTTTTAGATTAATGAGCGACTACCACTCTTGCTCTTATGCTTCTTTTATTTTTATTCTGAAGATAAATGTCTTATCCAGAGTGCTATCGCCCTATTCGCCTCTTCTTTTCCCCTTATTCATGCCTCCTTTCATGCCTCCATCATGTATTCACTTCCCCCCCATAAGATTTATCTTCATCCTGTAGGTTTCCTATGCCAGTGACAGAGCTGGCTGTCAGGAGAGAGTTGTTCTCCAGCGCTGTAAAATTCCCTCCGCTGTCTAGCTCACTCTGTGTAAATCTCTTGGGTACCACTGCAGCCAAGCATGGATTGTGTCTGAGTCTGGTTCCTGTTGCTTGACTCAGAAGTAAATTTCTCCAACCTAGACAGCGATCGCCGTCTGGCTGTCTTTTATGTATCTTTGAAGCACTTTTTGAGTTAGTGTAATGTTTTAGTTTCTGGGTTTTTTTGCAATTGCACTATAAGTTGGAGGTGGGTTTCTGACCAAAACGTGCCTACTTCCAAGTTTATATCCTCTTATTTATATCGAGCTGCTTTTTAATATAAGCTGTTTATGGTTCATTGTAAAAAAAGGAAGGTTCATACAGAGGGCAGCCACGTGTGGACAGTTGAGTTTTACAGCTGCGTCCTGTTCCCTCCTCAGCTCTAAACCTCAGTAGTGAGGAGTTTTAGGAAGAAAGTGATGAAATTGGGGCCGAGTTTGCATCCTGTTCTTGTAAGTAATGCGGATATTACAGTTTATTATGAGCCTCTAATTGTTTTCGTTGCACTTGAGACACCTTTGACAGAAATACCTGCTACTGTGTTTCTAAGGTGACGTGGCGATGCCTGTCTTATCTAGCAAGGAGTCAAAAACCTGAAGGTGTGTTTTTTCTAAGCAAAACAAAATTAAATCCAACAAAATTCAACAATAATCAAATATTAGTCTGTAGAAATGCTGAAAAATATCATGAAATTAGTTTGGTCAAGGCAAAAGTGATGATCTGCAACATCAAGTTGCAAGTCTACCCCTGAAATATTCAGTTTGACTGCCACGAGGAGAAAAAAAAAAAAGGAGCAAATCCTCACTTTAGAGGACATATAACAATTAAATATATATTGCTCATTACTTTATGGCATTTTTTAAAGGATTTGCGTCTTAATTGCATAATTTAAAAATAGTATTCATAGGCAGTTGGAGCCTTACCATAAATCATAACACGGTTTGCTGGAAGGATATTATGATATGATTCTTCTATAAACAAACATACAGGCTTTTTATCACGTAGCTATCTATGCTTTTTGTTTGTTACTTTTTCTTACTGGAAAAGCTATATTTGGCTTCATTTCCCCAGAAAAGTACCTGCATACGTCTTTCCTTTGTGCGCAATGCAGAATGATGGGACCTGCAGAAGATTATCCCTTTGGAGGAGACTGTCGGTGTGGCCTTGTTATTTTTCTGCTGATGACAGAATCGCCACACAAAACATTGCTCTTCTCTTTTTCAAGAAGCCATTGTTTCCTGGGAAAAAATAACGTTGTTTTTTATTTTTGGCTGATGCTTACTGAGGATTGCACATACTACAGTAAGAATGAAGTTATTGCTTTCATAACCAATTCATGTCTTAATCTCCACAACTTCAACAATATTACATGTGAGCAACTAGTAGTTACAGCTGTCACAAGTAATGCCCACACTGCTTTGGATAGTTAGTGAAAACACTTCTGATAGATACTCTTATAATGAAAAAGATGGAAAATGATTGTTAGTAACAAACCCGCAGGGATTTATCATCTTAAATTGAAGGTCCCTTCAGCTTTATAGAGTTTCTTAGTAATCTTTGGAGCTGTCACAGCTTTTTCAGAAGACGGGAAGGCATGTGTTTTCAACCCAGTAGCTCTAAAAACTCACTGCACAGTGCCTGCTCAGCACCAGAGAGCAGACAGACACAGCAGAGCCAGGTCTAATGACCCACATTCATGGGCTTATTTATATTGGTCAAACTCATGTTGTCGCCATTCACAAAAGATGCAGGTCCAGTCCTGGGGGCACTACATCATGTCCATGTATAGCACTGCCCACAATCCTTCCAAAAGATGCTGGCTCCAGATCTGGATTCAAATGTTAATCGCTTCTAAGCTGGGCCTATCTCTCAAACAGACAAACAATGCCTCCCTGGCAGACAATAACTTTGCTGTATAACTGCTGGGTGTGCAAGTTCAACTTGGTGACTTGACTTGCTGCACAGGTGGTATCCTGTCACGGTACCATGCTGGAATTCACTGGGTGAATAAGAGCAACCCATTTTCTTACAAATGTTTGTAGAGGCAGTCTGCATGCTTAGCTGCTTGAGTTTATACACCTGTGGCCATGGAAGGGTTTGGAACACCTGAATTCAATGATCTGGCTGGGTGAGTGAATACTTTTGGCAAAATATTGAAAACCAGTGATGTGCTTTCCCTGCTCATGACTGTGAAAGGGTCTGCCTGGGTGTGAATGACTCTGCAGATGTCTGGGTACCCTCCAAGTTGTTGTGACAACACAAACTGTCCTACACAGCCACCAAACTACAAGAGCACCAACAGTGCGTGTGTCCTCAAACAAAACTCCACCCTACTACATATTAGTACGAAGAGAACAACTACTTGTGTCCAAAAGTACATAAATGAATGTTTTTTTTTAAAAAAAGAAATGAAGCAAAATGAGAAGCAGTTGCTCCACTTCACCTAATTTGAACCTCTGATAGCTCTTTTGTACAATAGGCTCTTACCAAGAATACTCATTACAGCGTTCTCACTAACCAGCTGCCTCGAGGTTTAGCATGTTCATGACCTTTTAATATGTCATATTGCTGAGCGAAGCTGTGTCGGGCGGCTACGTACAGCATTACCTTCTCTCACCCTGTTTTCATCTCTGTGCCCTGAGGGAGATTTCTAATTAAGCAAGACTGGGTAATCTCCTTGGCTAAAGTGATTAATGTTAGTAATTCTCCATCGTCATATCTTCCCTCACTGGCCTGTTGTTATCCCGACCACGGAACGCATCGGCCGTCTCCCTGCCAGCCCTTTTTATCACAGCAAATGATATTGATTGCTTATAATGAGGCTGTCATAGCCGTGTGTGTTTGTGATGAGGAAACAAGGGAGACAACAGCAACCAGACAGCGTTTGATGTCGTGTAGATATCAAATGAAAATAACCAGGGTTTGTATGCAGAAGGCAACATGTCTCTTTATTTTGTGAATTTGTCGCACCGCCTTTACCCCTTGCTAAGAATTGATTAGCTACATTATGATTGATTTTTTTTTTTTTTTAGCAAAGACCAAAACCAATTTGCAAAATGTCTGTGTCTCCAGCTCTATTAATATCCTTTAACATTTACGAGTTATTGACAGTTATTTTTGTTTTGGTTAACTCGTGCACATGTACATATTAGCTTTCCCATGTCTGTACCCCTGTGCTGTTCTGTAGGGAGCTACGGTCACTCAGCAAATTGCACAATATTTCCTTTAAGCTCAGTGGAAAATTACTTACAATGGTTTCTACCTGTGACCTTGACTGGGATAAATGAGGCTGGTTTTGTGGTTATGCTTAGAGAAGCAGAGAAAGAGAAATCAAGGTGAGAGAGACGATGAAATGCATTTAGCTTTGGTCCTGTTCTGCTGGGAGAGACCTGGTTTTTGACCAGCGGATATTAGTAGCTTAATGAAAGAAAAGAAAAAAGAAGAAGCAGAGATACATCTCTATTGGCTCACTGTATTTTGCATTCATTGGTTTCAGTTTTGAGCTCTGGAGTGAAGCACACATAAACAAAAATTGTCTAAACACATTAAAACCACTGGATTTTACTGCCAAAGCGATATGGACGTGTGTGTGTGTGTTTGTTTGCGTGCGTCCACTGCCCTTATACTGCTGTACTTGACAAAAAGTTAAATGGTTTGGCTTTTTCACCCTAATATGTATACGCAGCTGTCTTCTCCCCTTGCCAACAACAAAATACCTGGCATAATTTCTGTCTAGCCTCTTGAATCCAAAT